CAGTACATGGTAATTGAAGACTGCCCACAGTTAGAAGAAAGTTCCACCAATTGGAGTAGTCCAAACTTCCAGTGGTCCAACATTTCCCATATTCCAAATATTAAAGTAGGCGGGAGGATAATTCAGGATACACCTATGTCTCTGTTTCAACGTAAGTCTTTGTTTCTCTTTCACTTTCTGAGTAGATTTTTTAAATATTATTTTCCACGAGTTCAAGAAAAAAAGCTTTGTATGTAATTTATGTTTGATTTTTCCTTTTAGGTTACTAGTTCAAAGGTCATGCTAGAATGTCGATGTGGTAAATCAAGCCAAATCCCATGAGCATCAGGCAATTACGTTTGGTAAATTTACATCTAGAATTTATAGGCACTTTGTAATCTACTAGTTTCTATCTTTCTTTTTGTTAGAAACCAATTTTCGAAGGTCTATGCTGACGAATACAACATTACCTTCCTAAAAAAAAGTTTAATCATGAAAATTTATGTTTCTGCTCATAGGTTACTAGGTACAAGGTCATGGTAGAACGTCGTTGTGGTATATCAAGTCAAAATCCACAGGCAGAATCACATTAGGTATTTTCATTTAGTTGTTAGAGGAATGCTATAACAAGTTCATATAGTTCTTTTTTACATTCCTTTTCTCCTATGAAACAATTTTACTGTTTAACGGGGTTTGTTATGTTTCACAGAGGAACCACCACTTTTACTTTGTATGAAGAATAGAACCTTCAAAAGTGTATAGGGTGCTCAATGAGAAGCTACACGGGTCTAGCCTTTGTCTTTGCATGGCCGTGTTTGCCTTTTTATTCTCCATGTAAGTTTCTGCAATTTAATTTGATGAATAAAGTCTGATATCTACTCCCATTGGGACTTGGTATCTAACTCTCTATCAAATTTGGAACTGTTAGAATGTAAGTTGTTAGTTTGGTTCTTCACTCAATATAATTCTGTTAGATGATAGGTGTGCTTTTCGCACCCCTCCCGTCTCCCAACATGTACGAAGTAAAAAGAGTCTCACTATTTGTCATATCTATTCAGGTGCTATGATGAAGATAATGAAAAGAATGAATGGTGGGGCGCCATTAAAATCTGTTTATGAGGTATTCAGATTGGCATATTTTGCTTCAGTGGTGATTGTGGCTGCACGAAAATTGAAAGTTCAAGGTAAGTTGGCAAATGGTGGCTGTTTAGACCAATACTTTTTTCTCAGCAATGATTTTTTTACCCCTAAATGCAAAGTCTCATATATGGTAGAAATCTATATAAGTTTCTTAATAGACTCATAAAAGAATAATCTTTATGCTTTATGATTATATGACACACTTGTCGTTACTTTCACTACACTGGACAATTTCTCCGTTGAAGGACTTCAAAGATAGTTGTCATGAATCTTATAGCAAAGAGTGGCCCCATTAGCTCTTAAAATGTCCTAAGTAGTATCAGTTCATCTTAACAGGTTTTGTTTTCTCCTTTTTTTAGTGGTTACTTATAATGATCTGCTTCTCCATTCTCCCAATTAGGAAACGTGTGCCAAACTGACTTTTTACCATTTCCTGTGTTTCAGATTCATGTTTGAAACACTAGCATGTTACTTGTGTTGGATGTGTTTCAGTGTCATCATTGGCAAGGGAAATTGCACTCCGTAAACTCATTTGCATTTGGCTGAATCTGGATTGGAGATATTACTTCCCTGTATGTGGAGATCCCGGAAAAGGGTCACGAGTGATTGTCAATTGAGCTTTTCGCGTATGCTGAAATGAGAGTCCAATGGTCCAGTCGGAACACCCAGCCCACAGCTCCTGAAATTCTAAACTGAATTAACCTGGCAGTGTTGAATAGCATTCAAAGTAGAAAGAGCAACTTATGCCAGTTACTTTGCTACATTTCTCTACCATGGTTGTATGTTGTGTATAGAACAACTTGTGTCTTGCATTTTTATTTTATTGTTTTGATGTCAGAAATACTTTCAGCAAGACAATATTACATGGTGTTAGGGTTACAACGTAACTTGTTATCCAAATCGACAAATAAAATAATTTTTATAATACTTATTAAGTTTGACTTCAAGTAAGAATATAACTAGTTTAATGAAAATTAACCAAATTGTTTCCCAATGATCACAATGAAGCACAAAAAGATATGTGTGATTCAATCATTACGGCTCTTTAGGATGTTTTGATATCGTGTATATGAATCATGGTTTGCTCATTTGGTAATTAGATTGCATAATAATTGGAGAAATTTGATGTTTTTCACAACTGGTGGATTTTTCATGTTTACAAGGGAAAAAAAATACAATTTAAGAAATCAAAATTGGATGTCCATTTAGTCAGAGCCATTTAGTGATATGCTATCGTCGAGCTCAAAAGTGTAGTGAACTTGTGTTATGTATTAATTGTAACTTCTTTTTTACGTTCCTCTCCTATTTGGGCTATTCCGATGTGTGATTCAACTAAAATGCTTGCCAGCCTAAATGGTTGTTAATCTTTTTCTTTGGCCTACCCTCATCGGTCCGCCCTCCATCATTAGTGTCACACATTTGATATGAGTTTCTTTTTATTTTAAAGAAAATGACTACATCTACATCATGGGTCTTTTTTTAATATATTTTATGGAATAAGACATTATTGTCTTATTCTCAAAGACTAGAATAAAATTGATGTCGCTTTTAATAAAACAGTCAATAGGACGAAACACTATAATTAATTAATAAAGCACTAATTGATGTTTACCTACCAATACCATTAATTAATAAATTAATAATGCAATAATTCAGAACTCATGATACAATACACATTCCAGTCTGTTTGTGCTCATTACCAACTCTAATTATTGTTTGAACTCCTCACCCATCTCTATGTACTAGACAACTCCTTGTGTCATATAGTATTTGGATCAACGTACGACCAATCAGTTAACAATTGATTGATCTATCATTGAGCTATTGAGGAATAATAGGAGATTCGATAAGTTAATATTGAGGTGAGTTCCATTGATTCATAATTTGTGAAATCTTTATCCTCTGAATCTATATACTCCCCCTTCATCACTTGGTGATTGTTTTTCCTTTTAATTTCCTATAATCCCTTCATCTAACACCTGGAAAATACAATGAGGATACACATACACAAGTCATAAAGTATAAAGCTAACAAATATATTTCGTTCCAATTAGTCTCCTACAGTCAAATTAACGAAAGAAGGAATTAATGAAAAAAAATGAGAAAATATCTATGCTTTATGTTTTGTTGCTTTGTATACGTTAGCCTAGCATGTGGTATTTTAGAATCCTCATTTGAATATTGTATTTGTACAATAGTTAGTTAATTTTACTTTATGCACTTATATATTCTTTTTATTAGGAAAATCTATGTACTTTCTATTGTAAAAATGATGATTTTTTTAGTAAATATCAATAGATTTGAAGGGCATAAAATATGTTATTTGCAATCAAAATTTATATGAAGTATTTTGGGATAAAACTAGAACTAGTTATTCGATAAAGTGGTGCACTTTTAATCCCAACCCAAATTTCCGTTAGGTTTTTTAACAGACAAAAGGTTCAAAATGTGTCTCCTTATTGAATTTGTAGAAGATAAGGTTAGTGCTAAATCCTTTAGATAAGGTAAGTGATTAGTATGTAATTGCAGGGGAAATGTTTAAGTTTTTCATAGAGTTAAATGGCTAAAAACACACCTCAATCCTGTGTGTTTTCGCGAGTTAGATAATAAAACTATCACAATCTTTGTATTAAAACACACCTCAACTACTAATTGGAAAGTGACCATAGGAAGGAAATATCTCATTTCATCTTGCAGCACTCCATAACTTGATCCATATCACGGAATGTAACAACTTGGTATCATAGACAGGAGTTATAAGAAAACATCTGATTTCATCTGATTTTCTTCTGTCTAATTTGATGACTTATGAGTAAATCTGAGACGATGACCTTTGATAATGTCTGTGCCACTCAACTATGCTCTATCCAGATGATGTTCTCAAAATTTTCAACAATTTAGTAATTTAAGTGCATATAGCTTAAGGATAAAAAAACTGGTCAGTTACAATTTTTCTTATTTATGCTTTCAGGTAACTGGAAACAGTCCTCTGATTTTATCCGTGAACTAGCAAAAGAAGACGACTTTGTGAAGGAGCAAAAATAACAATGGCCGATCCAGTAATTGGTGCTACTGTTCAAGTTGTGCTTGAGAAGCTGCTTTCTCTCACTATTGAGGAGGCCAAAACTTTAAGGAACTGCAAGAAAAATCTCAGAATGCTCACAAAATATGTATCCATCATCCAAGCTTTCATTCATGATGCTGAAAGACGACAAGTCGAAGATCAGGCTGTGGAAGAATGGCTCAAGATGCTTGAGAGAGTTGCTGAAGATGCTGAAAATGTGTTTGACAAATTCACATATGAATCTCTCAAAGCACAAGTGATGAAAAACCGAGCCAAACTACTGGAAAAAGTCCATAGCTTCTTTTCTAATACTGCTTTTAAGTACAAAATGTCTCGAAAAATCAACAACATCAATGAAGAGTTGAGGGCTATCAATCAGTTAGCCAATGACCTCGGTCTCCAATCACTGACTGTTCCTTCTCGCAAAATACTACAAATCAGAGAAACAGATTCTTAGGAGTTGCTTCGGATGTTGTTGGTAGAGACAAAGATGTTGCTGAAATAAAGGAGAAGATGTTGAACATGAGAGAGGAAGTTGTTCTGTGTGCCATTCCCATAGTGGGATGGGGGGTTTAGGGAAAACTACTATTGCTAAGAGAATTTTCAATGATGAAGAGATGGAAAGCACTTTGAAAAGAGAGTTTGGTTGTGTCTACCTGAAATGTCAGACACTAAGAGCTTTCTTGAACAGATCCTGCAATCATTGACAGAGCGGAAACTTGAGGTCCAAACCAGGGACATTATAGTCAAGAAACTCCGAGATGAACTAGGAGGAAAAAGATATTTGCTTGTCTTAGATGATTTGTGGCATGTTGACCTTCCAGTGTGGGATGAGTTCATGGACAGCTTGAGAGGAATAAACACTTCCAGAGGAAACTGCATTCTTGTGACGACTCGTATGAAACTGGTGGCATCCACAGTAGCAGCAGTAAGTCCTCCTCATATGTTGGAAAAATTAGCAAAAGATCATTGTTGGTCGATTTTCAAACAAAGAGCATTTGTTGATGGGGAAGTTCTAGAGGAAATATTGAGTGTGGAGGACAGGATTGTTGAAATGTGTCAAGGTCTACCGTTGGCAGCAAGTGTGTTGGGAGGCCTCTTTCGCAACAAGGAGAAACATGAATGGTGGGCAATTCTTGATGGAAACCACCTTGTTGCAGGTGAAAATAGCATAAAGAAAATCCTAAAACTCAGCTATGTTATCTACCATCTCCATATCTAAAAAAATGTTTTGCTTACTTTGCAATGTTTCCAAAAGATTATAAGTTTGAAAAGGACCAACTAATCCAACTCTGGATGGCAGAAGGGTTTCTTCGTCCAAGTCAAGAGATCCCTGTGATGGAAGACGTAGGGAACAAGTTTTTTCAACTCTGTTGCAATATTCCTTACTGCAAGATGTTGAGCTAGATGAACACAACAATATTACACACTGTAAGATGCATGATCTTGTGCATGATTTGGCTGGAGATACATTAAAATCTAAACTACTTGATACGGAAAGTGTTGGAGGTGAATTTTTTCTCAAGTTCGATACTTTGGATGGGACTCACAAAGTGATCAAATGGATGCGATAAATGAGGCAGGACGTTTGTGCACATTGTTCTGGAAAAGCAATATATCTGATGATATGCTATTGAGCTTTCAGTTCTTGAGAGTTTTAAATTTGTCAGGATCAGACATCAAGGAGTTGTCAGCCAAAATTAGCAAGCTAATATATTTGAGATATCTTGATCTCTCCAGAACTATGATCGAAGACTTTCCCAACTCCATTTGCAAGCTCTACAATTTGCAAACATTTAGAGTCAATGACTGTTTTTTAGTCAGGAAACTTCCAGAAGAAATGGCAAATATGATAAGTTTGAGACACGTATACCAATCAGGAATTCATGATCAGTTTCAGATGCCACTTAATATGGGGCAATTGACCAGTCTTCAGACGCTACAGTTTTTCTACGTAGGTTTAGAGAAAGGTCGTCGAATAGAAGAATTAGGTCGTTTGAAAAACCTTAGAGGTGAATTGACGATCAAATGTCTCCAATTAGTTGGAAATAAAGAAGAGGCTCAAACAGCATATTTACAGGAGAAACCAAATATCTACAAGCTTACATATTTATGGTCCCATGATGAATCAGAAGGCTGTGAGATCAATGATGAGCATGTGTTGGATGGTCTTCAACCGCATCCGAACTTGAAAGCCTTATCAGTAGTGGACTATTTAGGGACTAAATTTCCTTCATGGTTCAGTGAAGAGTTGCTACCAAATTTGGGCAAGTTGAAATTAAGTGGTTGCAAAAGGTGCAAAGAAATTCCATCTCTTGGCCAACTGAAATTCCTTCGGCATCTTGAGCTGGTAGGATTCCATGAGTTGGAATGCATTGGACCTGCTTTATATGGTGTTGAGATTAGCAATATTGGATCAAGCAGCATTATCCAAGTGTTCCCGTCATTGAAAGAACTAGTATTGAAGGATATGCGTAGCCTTATTGAGTGGAAGGGAGATGAAGTTGGAGTAAGAATGTTTCCTAGGCTTGAGAAGTTGAGGATTAAAGAGTGTCCACTGTTAAAAAGTACTCCAAGTCAATTTGAAATCCTGCGTGAATTAAGAATTGAAGGAGTTGACAGTGAAATGCCATTGTTGAACTTGTGCAGCAACTTGACATCTCTTGTGAATCTTGATGTTTATAATGTGAAAGAGCTCACTTGTCTTCCAGATGAGATGCTATGCAACAACGTTTCTCTTCAATCCCTATGCGTCTCAGACTGCGAAGAGTTCCGTGAAATGCCACGAAGCTTGTACAATCTCCATTCTCTTAAGGGCTTAAGGATTTTAAGGTGCACCAATTTCAGTTCTTTTGTTGTTCCCAGTGGAGAGAACTACTTGACTTCCCTCCAAAGTTTTCAGTTACTGGATTGTAATGGATTGACCAGTTTACCAAGTGGAATGCTAGAGCATTGTCGGTCTCTACATACTTTGTGGGTCCTCAATTGTAACAACTTGGTTTCCTTGCCTTTACATTTGTGGGAAATGCCTTCACTTTCCTCTTTGTCTATATTTCGTTGTCCCAAATTGATTAGTTTACCCAAAGGGGGCCTTCACCACCTCACAGAATTAAAGAAATTGAAAATTGGTCCTTTGTCAGAGATGATGGATTTTGAGGCATTCCAATTGATTTTTAATGGCATTCGACAGCTATCGTCCCTTCGTACATTGGAGGTGTATGGATGGTCGCATTGGGATTCTCTGCCTTATCAGCTTATGCAACTCTCTGCCCTAACAAAGATCTGTATATATTATTTCGGAATTGAGGCTCTTCCTCATAGACTTGACAATCTTACTTCTCTTGTAACATTACATCTAATGGGGTGCAATAGGCTACAACATGTGGACTTCTCAAATATCATGCCCAAATTACGGTATCTGGAGATCCGTTATTGTCTATTGTTAGAAGGTCTGTCGGATGGGCTTGGCAACCTTGTTTCTTTGGAAGAATTAAGATTACATAACTGCGAAAAACTAGAGCATCTGCCATCTAGAGATGCCATGCGACGCCTTACCAAGTTACAGTACCTGGTAATTGAAGACTGCCCACAGTTAGAAGAAAGTTGCACCAATCGGAGTAGCCCAAACTCCCAGTGGTCCAACATTTCCCATATTCCAAAAATTAAAGTAGGCTGGAGGATAATCCAGGATAGACGTAAGTCTCTGTTTCTCTTTCACTTTCTGAGTCCATTTTTTAAATATTATTTTCTACGAGTTCCAGAAAAAAAGTTATGTATGTAGTTTAACATTTGTTCTGCAATTGTTTTGACATTAAAAATTGCAAAATTATTAATGAATTGCATTTGTGCTATGCTTTCAGCATTCTGCTTGTCCACTTGAACTGAATTGTTCTTCTTCTAATTCTTCAAGTATGGTATATCTTGTAATCTTGATATGATATAATCATGAGATTTATGTTTTTTTTCCTTATAGGTTACTAGTTTCAAGGCCATGCTAGAACGTCGTTGTGGTATTTGACTTGTTCTAACGCAGAGATAACTCCGGAAGCATTTTATTGCTTACAAATGAGTTTTGGCATTTGGACCAGGTACATACTATATTTCTTAAGTGATATGACCATCCTTATTTCATTTCACTTTTTCTAATTGCATCAATCAACTATCTATGAAATTGTGCAAGTGTTAGAATGTAAGCGGTTAGGAAGAAACTACATTAGTTTCGGTCGATTTGGTGTTTGTATCATAATTTCCCATAAGTTATGAAGTAAAAGGAATAATAAGTTATGTTGAATGCCCATTATATCGAAATAACAAATAACTTTTTTGAAGGCGAAGAAGACCTAGGACTTGAATGGATCAACCAGTTTGAAGGTGATCTGTCCATTAGATGTACAAGATTTCCATGTAAGCTTCTCCGAAATTGGAAAAAACTGACTGGAATGTCTATATAAGTTTCTTGATAGACATTCTCGTTACTTTCGCGTTCATTAAAACTCTCGCGATTGAAGGACTTCAACAAAGAAAGTTACAAAAGACTGCTATTTATTGATTCTTATAGCAAAGAGTGCCCCATTGGCTCTAAAAATGTCCTTTGCAGTATCTGTTCATCTTAATAGGTCGCTGATTCTCCATTCTCGAATCTTCTGCAACTCTCTGCCCTAACAAAGATCTGTATATATGATTTCGGAATTGAGGCTCTTCCTTATAATTTTGAAAACCTCACTTCTCTTGAAACATTACATCTAGTGGGGTGCGAACGGCTATGACATGTGGACCTCTTAGATGCCATGGCCAAATTACGGTATCTGTGGATCTGTCATTGTCCATTGTTAGAAGCTCTGTCGGATGGGCTCGGCAACCTTGCTTCTTTGGAAGAATTTTGTCTTTGGAACTGCAAAAAACTAGAGCATCTGCCATCCAGAGATGCCATGCGACGCCTTACCAAGTTACAGTACCTGGTAATTGAAGACTGCCCACAGTTAGAAGAAAGTTGCACCAATTGGAGTAGTCCAAACATCCAGTGGTCCAACATTTCCCATATTCCAAATATTAAAGTAGGCGGGAGGATAATTCAGGATACACGTATGTCTCTGTTTCGACGTAAGTCTTTGTCACTTTCTGAGTAGATTTTTTAAATATTATTTTCCACGAGTTCTAGAAAAAAAGCTTGTATGTAATTTATATTTGATTTTTCCTTTCAGGGAACTAGTTCAAAGGTCATGCTAGAACGTCGATATGGTAAATCAAGCCAAATCCCATGAGCGTCAGGCAATTACATTTGGTAAGTTTTCATTTAGAATTTATAGGCACTTTGTAATCTACTAGTTTCTATCTGTCTTTTCGATAGAAGCCAATTTTCGGAGGTCTATGCTGATGAATACAACATTACCTTCCTAAAAAAAGCTTAATCATGAAAATTTATGATTCTGCTCATAGGTTACTAGGTACAAGGTCATGGTAGAGCGTCGTTGTGAGAGGAATGCTATAACAAGTTCATAAAGTTCTTTTTTACATTCCTTTTCTCCTATGAAACAATTTTACTGTTTAACGGAGTTTGTTATGTTTCAGAGAGGAACCACCACATTTATTTTGTATGAAGAACAGAATCTTCAGCTGTAGACTCATTACGGGGACACTTTCATGAGTATTTGGGTACTGAACAACCTTTTCGGGGAACTGAAGTCTACATATGAAACATCAAAGAACTCAAAAGTGTATAGGGTGCTCAATGAGAAGCTACACATGTCTATCCTCTGTCTTTGCATGGCCGTGTTTGCCTTTTTATTCTCCATGTAAGTTTCTGCAATTTAATTTTATGAATAAAGTCTGATATCTACTCTCATTGGGACTTGGTATCTACCTCTCTATCAAATTGTGGAACTGTTTAGAATGAGTTGCTAGTTTGGTTCTTCACTCAATATAACTCTGTTAGATGATAGGTGTGCTTATCACATTCTCACAGTATTAATGTCTGACCCCTCCTGTCTCCCAACATGTACGAAATAAGAAGAATCTCAGTATTTGTCATATCTATTCAGGTGCTATGAAGAAGATAATGAAAAAAATGAATGGTCGGGCACCATTGAAATCTGTTTGAGGTATTCAGATTGGCACATTTGGCTTCAGTGGTGATTGTGGCTGCACGAAAATTGTATGTTCAAAGTAAGTTGGCAAATGGTGGCCATTTACATCAGTACTTTTTTCTCTGCATTGATTTTTTTGCCCTAAATGCCAAGTCTCATATATGGAAGAAATCTGTATAAATTTTTTTTCTTAATAGACTCATATAAGAATAATCTTCATGTCTCTGCAATTCAGATTTTATATTTTCATGCTTTAGACATGGAACTTT